GAATATTTTCTGGAGTTTCTCTTAACAGTCAATTACCTAATTGATTAAATCTTATTAGCTTGATATTATTCTAGACGTGACAGTCCTCTCGAAGATTTTCTGGAGTTTCTTTTAACAATTAGTTACCTTATTGGTTGAACCATATTCCTAAAATATCAACAAACATGTACAGGTTTTCGACATGAGAGGTTTTTCTTTGAATAAATAAGAAAAATTGATGAGAGATGAAACCAGGTGTTGAGCAAATGGCTGGAACTAATGTTAAATGTAGTATTTTTATCATATTTTTTCCGGACATTATGATGAATCATAATCTACATTGATTGCTACTCTTAGCACTTACAAACATTCTTTTGTCTCTCACAATTCATAAAATATATAGATAGATCTTATTTACTACATATATTGTTTTGAGATCTGTTTGGTTATCTGCTCCTATTGGTCCTAGGAGTGCATAACTTACTATAAGTGACACGAGTCTGTCGACTCAGAACATTTGGGAAATCATTCGTACTCAATTATTTCAATTGGATTATATTCTTTGTTGACTCCATATGTTTTGCATTGGTATTAGCTGCATTTATTATTGTCTCATTTCTTCTAGCTTAGCCGTGGCAAGGGACTTGGAAAGGAATCTGTTCTGATGATGATGGCTTTTGCAATAAAAAACTTTGGGATCCACACTTTTCGTGCAAAAATCGGAGAATCGAACAGAGCATCTCTTCATCTATTCCAGAAATTGGTCTCTCTCTCTCTCTCTCGGTGTGTGTGCATGCGTGCGACTTTGGCCCACATCATGGGGATGATACCTTGAGATTGTTATTGCAGGGCTTTGTGGAGTCTTCTTACAGCGAAATCTTCAAGGAGGTCAGAATCTTTTCCCTGCAGTTGGCGCAGATCCTGCTGTATAGTTTTCATTCGTTCTATATGTACCGGTTTATGAAAAATGAAAGTGTTAGTCATCTCTTTGCTGTGCATGCATTTTTCTGATTTGTATTTTTATGTTTGAGCGCTGGCATGTGGATAGTCAGTTAGCCGCCGGAAAATTTTCCCTATTTTATGAGCATGAAACAACATGACCATTGGCCCAGTTCTTTACTTTTAGCTCTATGGCACTCGTCAGAATGTTGCTCTATGATATGTTCATTTCTTTCTTTTCGCTTGGGAATGAAATGGCATTCCCATCTTCTGATCCGTTCTACAGGTGACCTTGGACTTAGATGTGACAAAGGCGAAGCTGGAGGAGCTACAGTATCTACTTGGTGATGTTAACCACGAATAAGAACGAATGTGGTCACCTTTCTTTTTTAGCTATGAGCAGTTATCTTCATTTGGGAGAGTGTTGCTGACATGCACAATGATTGGCGCCGAAAGAGTTGAACAGACAAAGTAACAGTTTATACTACATCGCATTTTCTCCCCCCTTATGTATGTAGAAGTCGGCATGCCCCAAAGATCACTGTTTATCTCTTCATTGATAAGTTTAGGGACAAAATAGGCGAATTATGGCAATATATTTTCAGCTACATTGGGGGCTAGTAGCAGGGGTGAGCAAAAATACCAGACCAAACCGGCTGGTTCTGGGAAGTTCCTGGTTTCTAAAATTTGGAACCGGTGAATATTAGTCCCGGATGGGGCTGATTTTTTTTTTAATTCTTATTATTCCAAAATTCCAAAACCTTTATTCCCATTCTTTGCTTGCTTGCTTGCTCTTGCGAACTTTTGCCAAACTCTTTTTCACGTGTGATATGTAATGTAGATTGTAAATGCATTTGAATTGAAGCTTGTGAACTTTGTGGCAAACTCTTGTAGTGATTGTTATGATTGGCAAACTTTGTGGCGAACTCACAAACTTGGTTCTTGATGATCATTATAGCTTTGTTCGTGGAGATGATCATCGTGTTTAATTTATCATGAGCTTTTTCTATTAACATCACTAGTGTAGTGGTTTAGCCTATGCAAACACTTGTAGTATTGCAGGGAATAGGAAAAAAAAAGGAGATACGGCCAATTCCTGGACCCACCCAAGAATCGAACCGGACCGGACCGGTCAGTCTGGTTCCCGAGTGGGTCCAAGACTAGGTGGGCGGTTCCCGGTTCCACAAACGGGGAACTGGCCCACCCTGGAATTTATTATCCCTAGTCAATAGGGCATTTTAGCAACAAGCAAGATGAGGGTCAAGTTAGAAATGCCCTCATGAAGAAGGCTGGCTGGTTCACTGTTAATGATCCCACTGGGTAGTTGAGTTCAGTATTGAGCATAGGTTCTTACATTGCCTTAAAGTGTAAGAAACCTCAACATAAGCTCTAGATGTAGATTGAAAATTAGGGAAGTTCATGAGTCGCGCTATGAGTTTGGAATGCTGCAGACTTTCTAAAATAGTATTAGCGTCAAGTAAGTGACAAAGCAATGCAGAGAAAGGCAGTGTGCTGTTGCCCTATCTAGTTTTGCTTAGTTCTTGAGTAGCTTTCTTGAGTAGCTTTTCTCGTGATTATTCCCAATGGAGATTTACAAATGGTATGTCACATGAATTGTGAAGTGAGATTGAAAATCATTTGGGTTCTTTTGGATTATAAAAGGCCCCTTGTACAGCTAATCGCCCATATCTAGTGCTTTTTTCGTCTAGATCAACAAAAGAAGTGCCTTCATGGATTGTGCTTGAGAGAGGATGAGTCTTAGAGGCGTATCTGTAATCTAAAAAAATCAGGGTTGCAGCTCAGGAGCATTGTGCCGTGAGTAGGATTTGATTGTGTTTGTGTTAATCAACGACTAGTCTTGCATTTGCGGCGACTACCACACGGGGCATGTGAATGAGTTCTTCATTGATGCTTCAGAAGCAGCAAGGCAACTGCATTCATCTACACGTTTGGTCTGACGAGGAATGCAGGGGAAAGAACATGCTCCGAAGCGGATGTGTCAGCGAATAATGTCAAGGTGGTCAGCGTGGACGCAACGCAAAGTAATGTCTTGATTCATTGTTTCAGCTCAACTTTAAACAAGTTGTTCCCTTATTATAATCACCACTAAAGTTCATGTTGGTTCAGCTGAAAGCAAAGCAGAGGGAGGACGTGTTCGTCACTAGGCCGCTTTATTGTATTCATTCTACATCGAAACGGCACCCATTGACTACTGGCTGGTGATGCCGTTTCTGCGTAATACAGAAAAAATCAACAACAACAAGAAGAAGAAAGTCTAGAAGCTCAAAGCTGTGGGCGACGGTTACGTTTGCGTCCGGTTGAAAGCGAGGAAAGTGCTTCTTTAAACTCAAGCCTCTGATGCAATCACGTAGATATAATGCCTAGTCAAACTTCCTCTCCTTGATTTCTCCTCCTCTTAGTGACAAAGACGACGTGTAATCCCAAAAAAAAGATTAAAACAAAGGAAGACCAAAGGGAAAAAAATATTTTACTCGGTAAATGTTAACTAGTATAGATAAGGGATAATCACACATGGTTTTTTGACTTTTAGCCAAATGTGTAATATGGTCTGTAAGTTTTTAATTTGTTCAATATGGTCCTTGAATTTTAACCTAATGTATAATATGATCTCTGGACTTTTGATATATGTTCAGTGTAGTCCCTGAACTATATGAAATTTTAAATGTTGTTATTCCATTAATTCAATATCAAGGGCAATATTGAACATTTTCATATAGTTCAAGAACTATATTGAATATGTACTAAAAGTCCAGGGACTACATTGAATAAATTTAAAATTCTTGGATCACATTGCACATTTGGCCAAAGTTTGAGGACAATTTGTGTCATTTTTCCTTGGGACAAAAGTCACCAAAACCCGAAACTATGCCCATTATGACATATCTACCCTAAACTACTTATATGACATAAGAAATCCCAAACTTATACCCGTGTGACATATTTACCACTCTGTCAAAGAGAACCGTTAAAAATTTATCTACATGAACGTCAGAAAACCAAACAATGTTGACATTACTAAAACCAACATTGTTTTGGCTGAAATATCATTTAACGGAACATGGATAAAATGTGTCATGGTGAGCGTAATTCGAGATAAATTAAGAGCAAATGCGTCCCAGTGGACATAGGTTAGAGCTTTTTTATGACTTTTTTCCCTTTCTCCATGCAGATAAAATGCAGCTAATAAAATGACAAGGACGAAACAGAGAGAGGAGTGTGGCGGGGCAGCTACCTCACGCTCTTGGGCCAGGCTGTCGACCTAGCTGTCTCTTGTTTTATTTTACTGCGAATGTTTGGAAAAACATCTTCGAAACCTTATTATAACCTTATTTTAATTGCGGGCGCATCGGAACCACACGCCACTCTACCAATTTTCTTCATTTTGGTGGGACCCCAATTTAACTTTAGGTTAGGTTAGGTCGTATCTTGATGTACCCCCGAAATAATTTACAATATCTTATTCATTTAATTTCTTTATTTAGACCCCTCGGATTAATTAAAAAAAAGAAAGAAAAGAAGTTAAAAAGTGAAATGGACCAAACCCCACATGCCCGCCACACGCCGATGGAATTTTATATTTCTCGAGACGCGGAATCAACTTGACTTTCCGCATTGAAAGAAAGAGAACTAAAGAAACGACAATGAAGCGCCGCAATGGGGAACTTTCCCTCGCCTTTCCTCGATTCTTCTCGATGAAGTTAAAAATGAACGACGCTTTGGCAAAGGCTGGAAGTATGATTAATTTCAAGAACAAGTTGACATATAAAAAAACCCTAAAACTTCAGAAATTTCAAGAGCAAAGGAGGACTTTCTAGGCTGCTTCCCACCTCCAGCCTGTAATACACCTTACCCAGTACTCACCGTTCATATCATAAAATCTTGATCAATTTTCAGGAGGGAAAGAAAGAAAAGAGAAAAAGAAAATCTTGGCCACTCATTATATGAGAGATTCCACTATATATATGAGACCTAGTCTTAGCAAATTCAGTCATTACTATCAAACACTAATTCCATTACTTCTTCTTCTTGGCTGAAGAAGACCATACTCACTCTTTCTCCTTCTCCTTCTCCATTGTTTGATCATCTCATCTTGCATTTTCATCCACCTGATTAACAGGTTCTCTTTAGAGAAGATACTATTGTTCCGTAAGCCGAGAATCGCTATGGAGAGCGCTCCGACGAGGTCCGTGCTCTTTCTGCGGGTCCTGGTGTTCGCTTTGTGTGTTTCGTGCTCTCGTGCGCAGACCTGCCGGAACTACACGTTTTCCAACAAGAACGCCTATGCCTCGTGCGTCGACCTCCCCGTGCTGAGCTCGTACCTCCACTGGAACTACACGCAGTTGACCGGCACGGCAGACATCGCGTTCCGGCACACGGGCACCACGACCTCGAGATGGATCTCGTGGGCGATAAACCCTAGGGGGCAGAGGATGGTGGGGTGCCAGGCGCTCGTGGCCTACATGACCTCGAGCGGGTCGATGTACGCCTACACGTCGAGCATCGACAGTTACAACACGGACATGCCGGAGGGCGCCCTGAGCTTCGGGGTGCCGAGCATATCAGCAACGTACGAGAGCGGCGAGATGACGATATTCGCGAGGCTGGAGCTCGGGACGAGCATGGTGAGCGCGAGCCAGGTGTGGCAAGAGGGTCCGATGAATGGACCCGGAAGCCCCGGCATTCATTCCACGAGTGGAGCCAATATGCAATCCACGGGGACGCTCAACTTCTTGTCTACCTCCAGCACGTCGGGTGGAGTATCGTCGTCAGGATCATCAGGAATTAGCTCGACGGAGCGAAAAAAGAATGTAAGTTTATTCTTGGGTGAATTAGCTTTAAATCTACCCATTGGGCAAGTTTGACTTTTTGTTTTACCCTCTTTACGTCTATGATGAACTTCATATCTGGTTACGCATGCATGTGCAACCATATAATCTATATTTAGGTCGTGCAGGCCATTAACATAAATTACTGACGGAAAAATATATAGATATATATTATATATAATTAGCTATACGTTAAAGTTCATTTAAGAGGTGGTTGGTCCATTATTCATTTATTTGTTTTCTTCTTTTTTGTCGGGAAAATTGCGCAGGTTCATGGGGTTTTGAATGCTGTGAGCTGGGGAGTAATGATGCCACTGGGAGTGTTATTGGCGAGGTACTTGAAGGTGTTCAAGTCAGCAAATCCAGCTTGGTTTTATCTCCACGTGACGTGCCAAGCATCTGCCTACGCCGTGGGCGTCGCCGGCTGGATCACCGGCCTGCGGCTCGGTGACGACGCCGGCGGCGGCGGCAACGTTGGCACTCACGGCAACATCGGCATGGCCCTCTTCATCCTCGGAACTCTTCAGGTAAATTTTACTTGATTTTGCACTAGTTTCTCATCATCCACAACCATCAACTATTCAATGACTATATTACAATTTGGCGGTCACAACTTTAACCTAGTAATCAAATTGCACCCAATGGAATCTTTATCATTCTTAGATAGTTTCTTTTCGCACGGTACGGACGTAACGTTGGTATATTTTGATAAATATTATTTGAATTCATGTCTATCTTCTCTAGAAAAAGAACGGTGGTAGGAAATCGCCCACGGTATTGTCCCTCTAAAAGATCCCACTACCTTTCAACGTTAACTTTTCTACGCAGTTCTGACTCTAGTAAAATAAAAATAGTTCGGTGAAAATGAAAGGATGATAGGAAAATTGCAATTTACTTGGTTCCGCCCAATAATAATAACATCAGTGGCGTACCTATTGGTTCTTAATAAATTCATAAATAGATATAAAGTCTTCACGGCAATCTCAACCTTCTAAAAGCGGCACGGGTCATGTCTCTCCTGTAAAGTCTTCGCTTTCCATTTCTTTTTCATTAAATGGAGCATAACTGAGGCATCGTGCCGTGATTAGTAGTGAGTCAAAGCTTCAGAATTCAGCCTTTCTGGTTAGTGGGTCAATTTTGCTGTTTCATTTGAGTTAAATGAAAGTCAACTTGCATTACTTTATGCAATTTGCTAAAGTGGACGAGCATGAATTACACGGAAGTGGCGCGTCTTTGTTCGCACTCCTGCATAGCACGTTGCGTTTCTTTAGTAATTCTGACAAACCTCTTGCTTAATCAAGTCGATTCTTTGATGAATCGATTCTGCAAAATGATTGTTCTGTAGCGCCATCATGGATAGACCCGTTCTCAGAACGAGAGTTAATAAACCTCCTAAAAGAATCTGTCGAAGTGTTCAGTCCGAAAAATCAATCCCGTGCATATTTGTTCAATGGCATGTGTCCTAATCGAGGGTAAACCCCACTCGGTTAATGATGATAAATCGAGATTTACGATCATATTTAACCGAATTAACTGGATGGAACCTAGTAAAGGAAGGGATTATCGACGAAAAGAGTACGAGTTAAAGAACCAAATGTGTTTATTTCGCGCTGATTGATCATACCTATCCTTATTTTCTCTAGGTTTTTGCTCTTCTCCTGAGGCCAAAGCCGGACCACAAGTACAGATTCTACTGGAATATATATCACCACTCTTGTGGGTACACCGCGATTGCGCTCAGCATCGTCAATGTGTTCCTGGGTTTGGACATTTTGGACCCGACGAAGGTGTGGAAGCAGACGTACATCATCGCCCTCATCGTTTTAGGTGGCGTTGCCCTGATCATGGAGCCACTTACGTGGGCCGTCGTGATCAAGAGGAGGAGGAGAGAAAGATCGCAGAAGGACCCAGCCATCGGCATGAACGGAGCTCATAGCAATGGCTACAATGGCAGATCCCAAGATGATGGTGTTTAGATCCATTGATGTTGTGTTTGATTAGCATATGTACCAGGTTATCAGTAGCTACTGCGTACTGAGGAGACTCACGTCTTTTATTTTCGACTGTTTCTTCGTTCTTCTTCCTTTTTGATAGATCCCATGTTGGTGGGGTATACATGTCTGAGATGGCTATTGTTGATCTCTTTGTACTTTCTTGGTAGGATTATATATCGTGGTTATCTGTGACGGTATAGAGTTGTACCTATTAAGCATCGATAGCGCGTTACTTATCATTATGTATCCCATCATTCGTGTGATCGACACGCTTTCTCCTATCTTTCTTTTCCCATTCCTTTGTTAGGGTTTCAACCCTCGTCCCGATTAGATACAACAAAGAGGAGAAAGGAGGAAGAAGAAAAGAACGATTTCTCACGATACCGACTGGCTTTGAACAAGGAGGAGGTAGCTTAATTCATCTAGAATTGAAGAACCATTTCTTTTTAATTAGCATGTCTAATCAAGGAGCAAATTGGGCGTGGTTTCATCACATAGGGGCACAAGCAATTCTATTATCCACAAATCAAACCGGCATCATCCCTTTGAATTTTCAATTATAGACAGCCCAAAAATAATGAATTTCATTCTTGGAAATGTGAAGATCCATACATGTGCCTGGTTTGATGTCCATCGGCCCAATTATGGAGGCTGATTTTGCTCCAAAGGAAGCCAAATTACCCGTCCACACCGCTCACCAAACTCATGGACAAAAGCCACAATCACCTAAAATTAGGTTAAATGTTTTGCGGTGCTCGTCGCCTTCTATCACACTATAAATGAACCCCCCCACTGTTGTTCTTGATTCATATAATCAATTTAGCTGTTGGATGTGCAAAAGCACAAAAAAAAAATAAATCACAAAAGATAAAAACAAAAAAAATCACAAAAACAACAGAAAAGAAAAAAAACTAGAGAGAAGAGGAGGGAGTATATTCTCAAACATGGGCTCCAAGATGATGGCAATAGCTACAATTTTCCTTTATCTGTTCTCAGTAGCAGCTGCCATGAGAACTAGAGGTTTTTCCATGAGAGGTCCAGCCGAAATCGATGTGAAAAAATTCGGAGCGAAAGCCGACGGGAGATCCGACGATAGTCAGGTACATACGAACTTCGTCAATCATCTGCTTTAAATTCTTTTTTTTTTCTTTTTGGTGAAAGACATTTGAGACGTGTTTCTAAAAACACCCTCCGAATCGTCTACACCCGTATGAAAACATGAATTTTTGTTTCATACAGCTTATGCAAGAGCTGCAATTCTCCTTTTCTTGAAGCCCTAAATAAGTTCTTTTTGTTTTTTGTGTTGCTTTCAATTCTTGCGCGGGATTTTCTTGTAGATTATTATGAGCGCATGGCAAACGGCATGCACGTCCCCAAGCCCTAGCTCGGTGGTGATATCCAAAGGGAGTTACATGGCGGGCCCGCTGAAGTTCCAAGGGCCTTGCAAGGCCGACGTCAACCTAAAGGTGGAAGGCACCATCAAAGCACCGTCGGACCTGAGCAAGCTCAAGTCGCAAGGCGCTTGGGTCTTGTTCCAGAACGTCGACGGCTTGACCCTCTCCGGGGGCGGATCGTTCGATGGCCAAGGCGCGGTGGCCTGGAAAGAGAACAACTGCGCTCAGACCGGCAAATGCAACACCCTCCCCACCGTAATTCTCTCTCGTTCGATCACGTCTATCGTTGGAATGACTCTATTTGAATTGAATGTGACATTGCCTTCGATTTTTGCTAGAATTTGCAATTCACCTCGGTCACCAACTCGCACGTCCAAGACATCACCTCCCTCAACAGCAAGTTGTTCCATGTGGAGCTCCTGAACTGCAAGAACGTGACGCTCCAGCACGTCACGATCGATGCGCCAGAGGACAGCCTCAACACCGATGGGATCCACGTAGGCCGCTCCACGGGGGTCAACATCACCGGCGCCGACATCAGGACCGGTGACGACTGCATCTCGCTCGGTGACGGGAGCCAGCAGGTGCACGTTGAGGGAGTGACGTGCGGGCCGGGCCACGGGATCAGCGTTGGGAGCCTTGGCAAGTACCATGACGAGCAGCCCGTGGTTGGTGTGACCGTGCGGAACTGCACCCTCACCAACACAATGAACGGGATCCGCGTCAAGACGTGGCCGAACTCCCCGAGCGGCGTTGCCACCAACATGCGCTTCGAGGACATCACGGTGAAGAACGTGTCCACTCCTATCCTCATCGATCAAAACTACTGTCCATATAACAATTGCCAACAAAAGGTATTCTGATATTATCCACCCTTTCATGAGCTCAATTTGCTATTACAAGCGATCCCACATCGAAAGATCTAGGAATTATGTTTAATCACCTGAATTTTCTTTTCCTATTTTCAGCTCCCTTCAAAGGTCAAGATCTCAAATGTGAGCTTTAGGAACATCCGAGGAACGTCTGCAACGGCACTTGCTGTGAAGCTTGTGTGTAGCAGAGGAGTGCCTTGCCAAAAGGTGGAGCTTGCTGATATTAACTTGAAGTATTATGGGAAGAACGGGACGGCCACGTCGCACTGCGCGAACGTGAAGCCTACGATCACCGGGAAATTGTCCCTGCCCATTTGTGCGGGGTCGCAAGGCTGATCGATCTTCATGTTCATTGCGGGATTAGACGCAAATGATCACCGGAATGTTTTAGAGAAGTTTGATTGATAATAGGCACCCCCTTCACGCTCATGGGCGTGATGAGTGACTGGTGAACTCTAGCTGCAAATAAAAATTGTAAAAAAAGAAGAAGCTATGTACTCCTTTAGGCTTTTGCTAGTTATAACAGAAGGTGCTTAGTACCACCAAGAAATTGTGAAGAGATTTCTTGAGAAATCAATAAGATGTTCAATTTCCTACCACTTTGTAATTTTCTTGCACAAAACATTATTTAGAACATGAACATGTTCTTGGTGGATGATTACGCCTGTTTCGACCAGTACTAGATAAGTTTCAAATTCCTAAAAACAGGATTAAAAAGGGAAAAATTTTCAAGTAGCTCTAATTGGGTCGCTTTGCGGCTCTCTGTGTTTATTGATCGATGAAAAAATTTACTTGAAGTAACAAGTTCATAGCTGAATGACAAAATATTACTTCAATTGAATAAATGGGCTCTTAAAGTAGACTCATTGGGAATAAATGAATTTGGAAGTAATTGTAATCTTTTTTTTGCTGAGGTCCAAATTAATAGGGAATTTAAGAAATGGTTTTAAATGTTGATGGGTAGTTGCAGTTTGTTTGCCATGGCCAATTTACAGATTACACAACTATAGTAGGCGCTCATGTTTCATGAGTTCTCAATTGCGCATTAAATAAGATAATTAAAGAAAATAGAATAACCACAAAATAAGTAAAGGGAGTCTCGACAACAAAAAGGTCAAATGTCAAAAGCCGGTAACTAATTATGTATATTTAAGGGATTAATTAATGTAATTTTGATTGATCAATGAAAATATCTAACAAATTACAAAAGTAAATGATTTCTCAATGCTTGGGAAGATTTGCAAAATAGAGACAATGGTGATGCCTATGCAGGGAGGTTGCAGCCGCGGTGAGGGCAGCGAACGAGGGGTGAAGCTGCGGCTGGCGATGAGCAGTGAGCTCGCGGTGATGGAGGTGCAGCGGCCAGTGAACTCGGCGAGGCCGCCTCCTGGACGGGATCAGGCACTCTCAAATTCTCAATGGCTGGGCATCGGCAGAGCAAGGAAGCAACAGCAGCTTCGGTCACGGTGTAGGGTCATCGGAGCAAGGGACTCGACTAGAGAAATCGGGACCCCAGCCTAGGTGATGGCCGAGAAATAGGATTGCGGTCGAGGATGTGGCTAGATTCGTGGTCGAGAGCACTGCCGAGCAAATTGCCCGGAGTGCGGCCGAGAACATGGCCAAGTAGGTGGCCGAGGGTGTGGCCGAGAAGCGGGGTCACGACTGAGGGTGTGGCCGGGGTTGTAGCGAAGGTGGTGGCCGAAGTCGTGACCAAGCTCTCTCTCTCTTTCTCTCTTTCTTGTGTGTCTCTCTCTAGTGTTCTTTAGTTATGAATTGCTAACCTCGCATTAATTAAGACCTAATATGCTTATATAGTGAAAACCTAGGTTTAGTCCTCTCTTTACGAGGTTAATTTCGGCCTTTATAGAAATAATGGGCTCTAATAACTTTTTATTAATTAAACTCTTATGCACTAAATTTTACTTAATTAAGCTCAATAACACCCCCCTCCTCCTTGTGATTTCCGGCCATGCATAATACTCCATGGGCTTGGCCGAATTTTTGCTTCACTTGTGGGCTAAGTTCAGAGCCATCCACCGCCGGTCCAATTAATGAACTTATCTATATGCTCCTAATTATATATGCAACTTAACTATTTTTGTTTATGATTATGGATGGATCCCTATTTTTATTATGCAATAAATGATTAATTGGATTGCCAAAATTTAAGTGTCAACATAGACAAAATGGGTTTCCGGTATTATTTCCATTTCAAAATAAAATTGAAAATGAGAGAATTGTATATCAAGTGATGATGGTATTTCCCTATCTGATCACCTAGTAAATGCCGTCAAAGACCCTCTCCGACGATAGAGTCATTGCTTCAAATACAATAGTAGGCAAACCCGGAATCAGGATGCGTTATCGGAGAGTGTCGAGATACGGTCGATACTTGAAGCCTTCAAAGAACCAAGAGAAGCAAAATGATGGATTGAGCTTGAGGACGAGACCTGCTTTGATAGTAAGTGAAGCAATTTTGTAGTTTGACTTTGGAAATCCAGCTCAGGACAAAACCGGACCGCAACGATAGGAAGATGGATCGATTGTCCGCAATTATAACCCTGGTTTATGCTTAGGCAGGATAGAGAATGTCTAGAACACGGGACACGGACATGGATAATTAGCAGAAAACCGGTGGAAAAGCTAATGATAGCAGATGGGGAGTCGGAACCAGGAGGGAAAACGAGGGACTTCCTCCCACCCGCTCAATTCCGGATAGATTTACCTTAAAATGGGCTAAAAGCTGTTAATGGCGTTCCAAGCTTTGCCACAGCTGCTGTATAAATGGCCCCAACACCAAGGGGAAAGATCAACCAAACAGCATCATCTTTCTTCTTGGTTGACGACTCAGCAGGCACCAAGGAGAGAGAGGCTAGAATCGTCGTGGTAGAAGGAAAAAGATGGCAATGAAGTCATACGTTGGTGCACTGCTTTTGTTGTTGTCTTTTTCTTCTACTATCAACGCCCAGGTCTTTCCCATCGGGAATTATGGTGCAAAGGGTGACGGCACATCAGACATACGCCAGGTGCAAGATACTCTTAAATTAATGGCTTTATGGTTTTTCTTTTCCTAAACCTCTCCTGCTGATAAGGGTTCTGTTTTTACAATCTTTTTCAAGGCATTGCTAAGTGCATGGAAAGCGGCGTGTGCATCCGCTACTCCTGCTAAAGTGCTGATCCCGGGAGGAACGTTCGCATTGTCGGAGGTGGTCCTAGAAGGCCCTTGCCAGGCCCCTGTGGAATTCCAGCTCCAGGGCACACTGCGGGCCCCGGCGGACCCGAGCCACTTCAAGACCGACGGTTGGGTCGCGTTCCAACACGTCGACGGCCTCACCGTGTCGGGCGGCGGGACCTTCGACGGCCAGGGCAGAACTGCCTGGGAGCAGAACAACTGCAACAAAGATACAAATTGCCGTACCCTCCCCATCGTAAGTGCCCATCGACATTATTCGTTTCCATATAGATTTCGAATCGCTCGGTCGTTATTCTAGCGGATACGGCAGGGGTATATCCGAACTTAGACAATGTGATTAACCGAGTTTTGAACATCGTGGGAAATTGCTAACATCCGTTGAATTTCGACAGAATTTGAGGTTCAACTTCGTCAGCAATGCCCTAATCCACGACGTAACGACGCTCGATAGCAAGCAGTTCCACGTAAACGTCTTGGGCTGCAAGAACGTGACGTTCCAACATTTCACCGTGTCCGCGCCGGGCGACAGCCTCAACACGGACGGGATCCACATCGGACGGTCGGTCGGGGTCTATATTATTGACACCACCATCAAGACCGGGGACGATTGCGTCTCCATTGGTGACGGGAGCCAGCAGATCTTTGTCCAGGGGGTGAACTGCGGTCCGGGCCACGGTATCAGCGTCGGCAGCCTTGGGAAGTACCCGAACGAAGAGCCCGTGGTGGGCATCTTTGTCAAGAATTGCACCATCAGCGGCGGGACCAATGGCGTGAGGATTAAGACATGGCCCGCATCGCCGGTCGGCACGGCCTCCGACATGCATTTCGAGGACATCCAGATGAACAATGTCGCCAACCCTGTGCTCATAGACCAGGGATACTGCCCATGGAACCAATGCCAAGCAAAGGTAAACACATGAACATGAGAATTAGCATAGGTCATGCCCATTACATGAATGCGTTCATTCACAGACCAAAGTAATAATTAGAAACGAAATGCATGTCGACCCGTCTGCTAAACGAAATCAATTTAATCTGGAACGAACTTCAACGCTAGTTTTGCTCACATTTCTCAAGTCAGTTAGGAAACAAAAACGCATCGCACAATCGAATAAAACTTATACATATCGGCCCTAATCGGTATGTTATTCGATTTGTTCAGGTTCCTTCCCTAGTTAAGATCAGCAAAGTCAGCTTCAAGAGAATCAGGGGAACCTCGGCGTCCCAGGTCGCAGTGAAGATCGCCTGCAGCAAGCGTGTGCCATGTGAAAACGTCGAGATCGCGGACATCGACCTCGTGTACAATGGCCCCGAGGGCCCCGCCACGTCGGAGTGTTCGAACGTCCAGCCTTTGATCTCCGGCACGCAAAATCCTCCGGCTTGTGCCAAGGTTGTAAGCTAAAAACTTCGCTCGTCGCAGGGAATATGAATCAACGCGTACGTTTCTTTATCAAGGATGTGAAAAGGCCGAGCTTTGAAGACGACGATTCCTGACCGAAACTTTTTTGTTTTTTGAGCATTTTTGTGTACCCCATACGGTATAAACATATTAATACTAGGAAGTTATCTAAATTATTTTAAATCTGATCGCTATGTTCCACGATGATATTGAGGATCTGATTGCACGGTATTCTAATACCACATCGGACTCCGTTTCAAGAAAATCTTCACTCGTACGCCTTACTTAGCTATTAATTTATATTTAGTTTGCGAAAAGACAAGATCAGCCTCCATAAATTTTCACCAACTCCAGACCTAAGTTTCGCTATATACATGTCGTGAAGCCTAAATTTCACATTACCGTACATCGAAAGGGTCGAAGAATCTCGTATGCTTGATCGGTTCGTCATCGTAAAATCATGAAACATCGACCGCATAGTGCGATGGCGCCACTCATAATCGATGTGATCATCAGGAGGCATCGTAATGAAGCCCGCTTTTCTTGTAATTTTGGGTCATCAATCGTTTCCATTTTACTCTGCTAAAAGAAGAGAAAGCGAATCCCGTTATGCTAAAGGCAGACTAGTGCGGTAGGCCTAGAAGTAATTGATGAAATAGTCTTGTTGTTCTTGATTTTGGGGTGCAAATCTTGGGATAATGCGCTTATATCCTCCATTAAATAATTGGAAGGGCGTGAATTAAAGTAGGTTCAGAGTCCAAATTCTAATTAGCTTCACATCCCCACATATTCGTCCACAGCCATGAAAAAGATTGTGCCATTTAAAGGGCGAACATGCTTTGAATCAATGCGTAAAGGCACCACTTTTCCCATGGGCTAATGCGGTGGCGGCTGCCCGGATAGGTGACAATCATTGATAGGTTGTTTCTATTGGAAACATGTGAATCTGGCCACGCCGTATGATATATACAGTTCGACCCTCCCACATCAATCAAATGCCCTCCACCATGGCCGGCCATCGTGGCCCTGCCGCCTCGTCGAACACGGTCACCGTTGCTCGCCGCCATCCATCGGTCGACGACCGTCGCTCTCCACAGCCCTTCAGTCCACCACCAAACTTCGGCCACAGGCGACGGCCACTGGCAACCTCAGATCCGAGTCCTTTGGTGGTCGTCGACTAAGTCCGTGGTTTTAGGCCCAAGGTCAAAGAGAGAAAGATGATGCCTGAAGGTGGTCGAGGTGGCTGCGACTCGGTGGCAACGGTGGCTTGTTAGATGGTGGCATAATTTGTTAGTTGCCAATCGTTGTGATCATGTCGAGTAGGTTTCCATTCAATATTGACCAATTAAAGGTTGGTTCACATTGTTCATCATGTACATATATAATATATTTATACATTACTGTCCGATCAGGTGAAGGTTCCCTCACGAATCCGAACATGATCGGATGCCCACGGTTGATATATCTTCGAGAGCTTAGACGGAGAGAAAAAATGGATTCCTCGTGGACTACTTAAGGCACTTTATTTAGTGTAAACCAAAAGGATCAGAGCCGTTGGATGTTGTTCAGTACTGCTATAATTAACAACAAAAAAGCCTTGCATTGAAAGCGCCTCCTTTCAAGAGGTTAGCCCAATAAAATTACCCGTATCAGGTTGTGGTTTTAGTGAGATGCTCTACATCAATCGAAAACGTAAATTTAGGAAATGATGGATTTACTTACTCTAGGAGGTGTTGACACGCACCCATTTTACAGCAGATGGAGCAGCAACCGTGAAAGTCTTCCTTGGTGAAGCAGGGGAGCGAGATACTTCATCCTCAGTCACTTCCTGATCAGACAACAGATACGAAGGACGATGGCCTCTACCTCCTCTCGACAATTGACCACCTGATCTACCCCTTTTTTGGGTCCTTTCGGTGCGATAGATCGAACAAACCCTACGCCCGCCGCCCTTCCTCTTTCTAATCCTTTTGGATGGTGCTACACAAATAATGCGTCTTTTTGCCTAGGCTCTATTATGAGTTTAGACAGCACAACTGTTCCTCTTCTTTGTTTGGGGCTATATGTGAATTTGATCTTCTTTTTCTTTTGTTGGGCAATGTAACAAAACATCTTTTGTTAAAAGCCATAAGAAGATGAGACAATCACGATCTTCCACATAGCTTTTCTTTTTAACCCAAGTACATAATTTAGGACATTCCCTTGAAGCTTCTCTTTGTAATCAACAACGAGTGTTTAAAAGAAATCCAGCATAGACATCATAGATATATTTCGGAACAACCACTACTCTCTAATTGATTATGCACAAGTGAATCTAGCTCAGTGTATAGAAAAAGGAAATTTTTCTTCTTTTCTTTTGGTAAAGGAAAGAAGGTAACTAAACAACAACACATCTTTCCTTAAAGGCTCTCTATACATCGACCCACTCAAACTTAGGCACTACATCAAGATTGCATACCGCATGCTGTCACTCACTATGAGATGATTCATTTCCGATACTTGATGACCGAATTCATGACTAGACACCCACACCCCATCAGCCCCATTCACATGGGGAGGAGAGAAGCAAGAGATGACCGCGACCGTGGCGCGGAAGATGCCGTAGAGCAACACTGGGAGCCCGCCCCAACCACGCGCCGACCGCCCGTCCGGGTCCCGCGCGAAGATCGGCAGGTCGGCTCGGTTCCCGCCGCCCAGCATGGCTTCATCGGCGACTTTCGAGCTCTTCCTCCTCACCATCGCGCCAAACATCCGCCGCATGCCTGCCGGCGGGGATAGAGAGGAGGGGACTTCAAGTTCCAATCTCAGGTGGAGGATGTGAGAGCATGAGATCAAATGAGAGAATCAAGGGCCTTGGTGTGTGTATTGGGGGGGTTTTGATAATGGGAGAGTTGGTGGGGGTGTTGCTAGTGCTTCTGTTTGTCACACTATAAAAGAAATAGAAACCCTTTATTGTAAAGGAAACTTAATGCACAATCAAGTTTGTGGGGTCTATAAAACGCCAAAAATGACGACAAAAAAGATGTATAATTAAGCACATACACTGCTTTTGATGGAGATTTTCTTGAATTATTTGAAAAATCTCTAAACTTAGTACATCAAAAGGAAGAATTTTATTTTCTTGTTTTTCTTTTGGTAAACTGGTGGTATCTTTCCAGTTCATTTGAATGTGAACCGACGGACCATAAAATCTGCGAGAAACGAGACAAAAAGTTTCAGGAGGAGACCCTAGTCGTTAGGGATTCTGCCGTTGACGTACATGGCATGGTAGTGGTGGGTCACTGCTTGTACACCCTTTGAGATTTACTCCCATCCTACTGGTACATCGGCCGTATGCGGGGATTCCTGGATCATCAAAAAAAAAAAAAAGTTTCAGGAGGAGATCTTATCCAAACGAGTTGGCTCAATTCCAATCTGATTGAGAATTATAGCCGTAGATGAACTTGATTTGATTTGCTTTTTTTTCTTTTTTCCAGACATGATAAGGAACAAATTAAGGATATGTACATTTTTCAGATGTGAATATATATATACCACACACCAAGAAAAGGAATATCTTGCTTTGATTGATGGCTCAGTGCACTTGGGAAAATGAGTGGTCCATCCATGTGTGAGAATCGGGGCTCTGCATTATGCTTTTATCAAGCCAGACAAAATGTATTGCATGTTGGTCATTCTTGAAAGCTACATTTCTTTTCTAAAAAAATTACAAATAAAGATATGCTTACCAAAAAGAAAAAAGAAAGAAGAAAGATACACAAATATCAGACTAAGAAGAAGATAAAAGAGAGGACAAAACAATTTTACTATGTGTTATGTGTTATTTCGCGAATATCATGTATAAAACGTGCGTCGAGAAATTGTTGCCTAATTTAAAAGTTATACATAGGCAAGACATGATACACATTCAAGTAGAACTATGTTGCTATGTCATTATTGGTGGAACCATCAGAGTGCATGATTTGACTAAAACAAGCCTGTTTTTATTTGATATTATCAGGAAGTGGTGGTTGACCAGAAGCCACATTTGCACAAGATTTGGAAGTCAACGCTTACATGTTACGAATAGAGTCTCTGTTTTTAGGACATTCCTGAGATCCGTGTAATGAGAAATGTGCAGGATCTGGAAGCATATGATCAAGGCCCACTACTTGGTGGTGGCCCCTTTGTAGACAGTGGGCCTAGTTAACCTTAGCCACATCAGTTCATTTGGCCCGAGCTTCTTTTAAGGGGTCGGTGGTGGCGGTCGCAAGGAGACGGGTCGCCGGTTTTGGTGGTAGCAGCACCGGCGGTAGCAGCAGTGGCGGAGGGTGATGATGGCAGCGGCTCTCTCTCTCTCTCTCTATATATATATCTCTCTCTCTCTTTTCTCTCTGTCCATTTTCTTTATTTTCTTAATACTAACGATTGCTGAATCAATAGCCACACCATCATAAATAAGTAGGCTAATGGTCAAAGGACTTGAACGAAAATATCGAACAAGTTAGGGCACTCGGTTGCGCTGGAAAAAAAGATCCAGGACCTAATTGCAAAAGGAACATAAGTTGAAGGATTAAAATTTCAACTCCAAAGAACCCAAAACACACATTCCATCCGCAGTTAAACTCGCAGCCCATGGCGGTGTTCGAACGTGGGCCTAAAAGAAACATACAGACATGACATGAAGCTACGATTGACATTGTAATACCACAATCGATAGCTAGACTTCTCATTTTGGCCCCCAAAAAATTGGCAATCAAGATAATAACTCGTTAATTACCCAATCTAACAAGAAAAATTTCTAATTTCATTTCATGTTCATTGCTAAAAAATAAGTTCAAAATCGTCGCGTTCTCGCATTGTTCAAGAATCATTTTCAAGAGCACGGACTTGTGTGCTCAAAGTTCTCCCATGAACTTGGAATGGACACTCTCGCACTAACTAAGAATTAGTTGGTTGCTCGAAAAGTCAAATACTCCCTACTATCGATGAAAAAAAAAAAAAAAAGAAGCATTCTAGTAAATGTGAAATTACAGATCTATGATATGAAAGGTCAATTGAAAAATTAAAATACCAACTCAATCAAAATAGGGGTGAACAAGACAGACCGACTGAACCAGGAACCGCCCGGACTGGATTGGACCGGCCAGTTTGGTTCGGTTTCCGGGAGTGTCGGTCTAGTTCTCGGCTCCTAAAAGTGGAATTGATGTCTGGGCGGTCCGGTTTTTTATTCCAAGGGGGAACCGGACCGACCGGACCGGACCGGACCGGACCGGACCGGCTATATATATTGAGAATAAAGTAACACATGTTCCATCCATTGCTGTTCTCCCACAAGTAAATGGAGTCTAGGCAAATGGCGATACTTGTTCATCACTTGAACCGGGTCACGACAAAGAATATTGTAGGAACAGGGGATAGTATGAAAACTAGGGAGAGACATCTGGCTCCAATAAGCAAGTTTCAGAAGCCTTGTCTTGTTGCTAGTGATCTATCTTCCAACAAAATTGCTGGCATCCGAGCACAGAGTTGTTTAGGAAGAAGTGGAGAATTAGAAGAAGTTGGTGTTCCTTTTGTTTCAATGGAAATTGATCAAAGTGATATAGAATGTAATGGAAAAGATAAAGTTATAAACAATAAGTGACAAGTTCTATGGGACTGGATTGGATCGATGGTTCAGTTTCCGGTTCCAGAAATCGGGAATCAGTCTTCTTGATCCGGTTCCCAGTTCTTGGATGGAATTAGACCGGACTGGAACTGATAACCCTTAAATCACATCGCCCAGTTGCTCAAATTGGAATCTTAAAAGGTTTGGTTTTGGCTTTGTGCATGAGCCATAAGTACTGAAACGCAATTCTAACTTTTCAATAAAGCTGAGTTTTCCATTTGGTCAGACCTCTTGGTAGATAGATAAAACAGAAGATATTAAATGTTTATGTCTTTGTCAAGTCTCAACCACGAATTTCTTTAAAAAAAATGAATTTAATGCATGTAATTCTGAATAAATCATAGAAACCGATCTAGGTTCCGTTTGTTTCGTGAAAAATAAAAGATTTGAAAAATAACTTCTAAAAAATAATCGCTTGTATTGTTTGAAATAATTAGTCAATGAAAGATATTTTCATTATCGATAACAATTTACATTTAAACATTTTTATAGACGATAAAAATATTTTTCATTTGTTTATTTTTATAAGCGATTGAAGCAATCACTTTTAGAAAAATATTTTTCAAATCACTTATTTTCTACGAAACAAATGCACTCCTAAACATACAATTTCTTCTTCACAACACCAAAATCATATGGCCATATAAAGCGGAAGAAATCCAGTAACTTATATCCGGACAAGAGCCAAATATCATTGTAGTAATCATCCTACATCTTTTTGATTAATTGTACATACTCTGCCAATCATGCCACAATCATAAACTCCCATCTTTTTTCATCACGATATGCCTCCTTCTCGATTAACACCCATCTTTAGGTGGGGAAAAGTTTGAACATTGTGATAAGATAAGATGTGTAAAGTTAGTGGGGAGGGAGTTCCCCTTTATTACGTAATTTCCCTCCCCTTTCACCCACTTTTTTCTTTGCATACTTTTCATTTATTTATACATTATTGTTTTATTTTATTTTATTTTATTTAAACTTTAAGCCTTTAAGCTAGGGCTGACAATCGAGTAGAGGGCATTTAAATAAGACATAGTGGTCGCTGAAAGTTGTTCTTTTTCCTGCCCAAAGGCTCCATGTGTGAATATGACTTTTTTAAATCTTGACTTTTTGGTGGCCAATTGTCTTTTAAAGTACCCATCTTATGCCCCTCTCTACCTTTGCACATTATAAAAAAGATAGCCCAAATTTCTTAGGCTGCTTTAGATATTTCACAATTAAAAAATTTGCATTTTTATTTTCTCTACTTTCATAGGGTTGTGATGGATGTCAGTCCATATCCTTTTTTTTTTTTTTTTTAATTTTGGGAGTTTTGTATTCTGGGCTGTGAATTTTCTCTTCTTCTTTTTTTTTTTTCCTTTTCTGAAACTCTCGGCAACGCGATTCCGTGATCTCTGGCGCTAGATTTTCACATATTTTTGTATTTGGTATGGCATTGAATATCGGATTCTTGAAATAATTGAGGGTGCCAGAGAGAAATCTTGCTTCATCATGCATTTTCAAGAAACTTCATCAGTATACAATAAATGCACATGAATGACATCGCCGTCCCGTGAGAAAGATACAAGGAGATAAACTATTATAAATTATTAAAGGATTAATACTATGAAAAATCTCAAACTGATACACATGTGATAAATTTACTTCAAACTATTTTTTTGATCACTAAAAATTCCAAACTGGTACACCTGTGACAATTTTATCCCGAACTAATTTTTTAACCACCAAAAACTCCAAACTGGTACACCTGTGATAATTTTACTCCGAACTAATTTTTTGACCACCAAAAACCCCAAACAGGTATACCTGTGATAAATTTACCCTCTATTAGTTTCCGTTAAATCTTACTGTCAAATTGTTAAGTTTGATGACACGTGATAGTTAACGGATGCACCAGTTTGGGGTTTTACCCCTTTGTTGGTAACAAGTTTATCAATTTGTGATTTTTCGTGATGGTAATCCAATTTAACGGACAATAACGGAGGGAGGGGAAATTTGTCACAAATGTACAAGTTTTGGATTTTTAGTGGTTAAAAAATTAATTTTTGGTAAAATTGTCACAGGTGCACCAGTTTGGAGTTTTTGGTGGTCAAAAAATTAGTTCGGGGTAAATTTGTCACAAGTGTACCAGTTTGGGGTTTTTGGTGATCGAAAAATTATTTCGGGATAAAATTGTTATAAGTGTACCAGTTTAGAGTTTTTAGTGGTATTAACCCATTATTTAAATGAAGGTTTAGACAAAACATGATTATTAAATTTTTTTTTGGTAATTCTTTAACTTTCTTCTTTGGATTAATGTAGAAATTGGGGGTGGAGGGAGGCTCCTCATCACTAGTGTGTATCACTGACCAATTGTCATGGAGTTGGATTTAATTATTCGATTAAATCGCGATTACGGCGGCAGCGCACGGCTCGATCGGACGGCCGGGATCGCTCGGGCCGCCCGTTTCTTTTTTTTCTTTTTCTTTTTCTTTTTTCCATGATCATAAATTCAATCTCCAGCTTTAATTTTTTTCTTCCTCCTCCTCCCTAGCTAAGGAGCATAATTCAACGACGGGTGGATCCCACGATCTTACGAGCATTTTCTTCCTTGTGGTTTCCGTCTCCTTTTAATGTTTTTATGCGCTCACCCACATCTTTGTCTATAGTCACACTTATAGGGTTTATCCGCAAGTCATCGCCCTCGTTCGCAGGCTCTCATTGGTCTCCCTCGCTTGCTTTCTTCTTGTGCTCGGTTGTTGTTGAAAACGTTTGGTGCTTTCCTCCTCTCTCTCTGTCTTCCCTGGTGATGATCCATGGAGTTCGTCCATGAGCCGCCGTGTAAGAAGCTGAGATGCGAGCTGGGCGGCGATGACCCGCGAGCCGAGGCCGAGGCCAAGAACGGCATGGAGGGCCTGCCGAGGGAGATCGTCCTCGACATCCTGTCGCGGCTGCCCATCACGTCGCTCGTGCGGTTCCGGCTCGTCTGCCGGTCCTGGCGGGCTCTAGGCCGAGACCCGCTTCTTCCCGACGCGCAGCTCGCCCGCACGGCGGCGAGGGATCCGTTCCTGGTGTTCCACAGCGACTTCCCTCTCAGGAACCAGCTCAGCTTCGTGGAGTTGTCCGCTCAGGACCAGGATTGTGGGCACAGCGGATCCAAGAAGAGTTCTGTCGGGAAATTCAATCCGCCTTTCTTGAATTCGATGCCCGAATTCGACGTGGTGGGTTCCTGCAACGGCTTGCTGTGCCTCGCCGATTCGCTCTACAGGGAGACGCTGTTCGTGTACAACCCCTTCACCGGGGACTGCAGGGAGCTGCCACCATCGCGGCAGTACGCGGACCAGACCGTGGTCTTCGGGTTCGGTTTCCACCCGGCGACCAGGGAGTACAAGGTGATCAAGATAGCATACTACCCGAACCCATCTAGGGCGGGGGCGGGGTCCCGCCGGGCGCGACGGGTCCCGCACGTGCAGTCGGAGGTTCAGGTCCTGACGCTCGGGAGGAGCCCAGCCTGGCGGAGCCTGGGGCGGGCGCCGTACCAGATCGACAAGAGGCCATCGGAGACGGTGGTCAACGGGAGGCTGCACTGGGTCGCGGGGCCTCGGAGGTACCGGACGGCGCGGCAGCTCGTGTCCTTCGACCTGGCGGACGAGCAGTTCCGGGAGGTGCTGAGGCCCGAGGGCGGGCCCATCGGCCGGTCCAACTACCAGCTGATGGCCCTGAGGGGCTTCCTCTCAGCCATAGTCTACTGCAATTACGGGAGGCTGGAGATTTGGGTCATGAAGACATACAATGTGAAGGAGTCATGGACGAGAGAGTACGTCATCGGGTCATACATGCCGAGGGCTCTCAAGCAAAACGTGAACTTCATGCCGTTCAAGATGTGGAAGAGCATGAATGCGAGGGTCTCTAGGGTTGTGTGCGGATTGGACAATGGTGAGATATTGTTGGAGTATAAGAGCGGGGCATTGGCGGCTTATGACCCCAAGAAGGGTAAGTTTAGGGACATTTCGTTGCAGGGCATGCCCAAATGGTTCCATTCATTTGTTCATGTGGGAAGCCTCAGCTGGATAGATTCCCACTCAGACACATGACAATTTCTTTAAAAAACCCAAAAGAAAAAGAAAGGAGGAAGAAGATGCTTCATTGTATTGTAAGTTCAAGTTCATATATTTATTATTTGAGATATAATTAGGGTCCATGTTCTCTCTCTCTCTCTCTCTCTCTCTTTCTCTCTCTGAGTCTGCTTTTGTGCATCCAGAGTTCTTTTGTTTAAGGCTTGTGATTGGCATCAACCCATTCAGATCATGTGCTCACGTCAGATTGGATTTGTTTTTCAAATGGGTGCGAGCTCTTTCCAATCTGTATGGGGTGTGACTCATAGGCCAGTTGGACAAAAATCAAAACTTTTGGGTTGGCCTTGGCCCCACCAGGAGGAATTATCTAAGTAATCCCTTAAACTTTAAAATTTCTTCCACAAGCATTTCAACCAGAACATAAAAGATAAAGAGGAAGGGCAATTCAGCAGAATCGTGCTTTCCCTCGTGGTGGGGGTTCTTCCCCATCTTGATCTTGGCTTAATAATTAAGTCATTCATGACGACGTGCCGTCGTGTCTGTATGTGCGAGCTCCGCGTACTGTTTATGTGCTCGATACACCCTTTTCATGTTCATGATCATGATCATCTTTGTTTATATCAAGTCAGAGCTAAGTCATGGCCGCATAGTCTTCAACATTGTTAGGTTGAGCGGTTGAAAATGTTTGGCAGTATAGGGATTCTTTTAGAACCTACCCCAGGTGGAGTTGCTCGATGCAAATGCCAAAAATTCCAGTATTTCCTCACCTCAATGCAAGAATACCTACCCCATAAAAAGATACAGAGAGAGGGGAGAGAGAGAGAGAGACAGAGAGAGAGAGGCATAAACTAGATGTTTATGACCATGGATTAAAAAAATATTTCATGATTTGTCCTTATGGCTCAAGTTGCAGAAAGATAAGGGCGCATGTCCATTGGATATTTCCGCCGTATGGCAATGGCATATATGCAGAGTTGAACATTTCAATGTCAAAAGAAGGGACTAACATAAGGGTCAAAAGGTGAATCATTGGAACATGAAAAGGGTTTCTTTTTTATCAGGGTTATCTCCCACATTCATTCAGTGTGCAGATAATCAAAACTCTGCATCATGGCCGCTCATATAGAAGCAAAGAAAAATATTGGCGTTCGAAAGGAAGATCAGGGTTATGTTTCCAAGCTTTTGTTTTCTTATGCAAGTAAAGTTGGCACAAAAAATCAACAGCTGGTCCCATGAATGAAAAAAAGTATGTGGATCTTTTCTTCTAGTCATGGCAAATACAAGAGATGAATTGTAGCATGACCAAGTAAAACTCATTAGCAGCCACAAACTTGTTTCACACAAGAATCTGTGCAACATAATCGGTCTTTCGATGGCTTCTTTCGCACACGATTGATGAAAGGTCCAACCCAGAATTACATCGCCTTTCGTTTTTGTTTTTAGATTCCACAGTTTAAAAAAAGAAAGTTATTGATTGAAAAAGGTGGATTGAAGCCAAAACAAACTGAACTTTGTTCTGGTGTGAATGTTATCCTCGCGGTTTGGTTCGGATTCGTTTGAAAATTCTCAAACGAAACATCTGAGGTCTTTTTTATAGAAAGCAAGACAGGCCAGATTGAATCAATCAAACATGGCTCCTATAAATCAGTGGATCACACATCTTGGACATCCCCCTGGTCTTTTTGTCTCCATTTTTGTTTCCTCTAGAGTAAGGACATAAGATGGGATATGGATTTCTCAAAAGCGAAATGACTATAAGAGAGGGCTTTCCGTTGACCCTAGTGCGAAAGAGATCTCAAGGACCTTATGGTCCTGCTTTTGTTGTTGTGAAATGATGTAAGACCATGAAGAGAAGCACATAAATCACCATTGATCACCCAAGAGTAAGGATCGAGTCGGTGTTACCATCATGTGACAGTGATACTGTGCTAAGAGACGTGGATGATCTCTCTCTCTCTCTCTCTCTCTCTCTCTCTCAGTGCTCGTGGGGATGAAAATGCAGAAAGCTGTAAGGTAAGATGCAACTAATATGAGCTTAATCTACTACAAGTCACCTGACCACACCCCGATGAGTTTTACAATGGAGCGATGGACTTTGACATAGGCACAGAGGATAAACCGATCACAAAAGAGAGGTTCCACGGTGTTGAAGGTTTCGAGCTTGGTTGGGATGTGCATTTTGGGTTTAGAGAGAAGGCTTAGAGATTGGAATGTAAGCCAATCCTCAATCTTCGTAAACCGTTGCCCTGTCATGTAAGGACCAATGACAAAAACATGCCATTTCTTCACAGCATTGCTCGTAATTCCTAATGAATCAATTTCCTCCAAAAAGAAATTATACCGGTGCACAAAGGTATCTTCAACAAAAGCTTAAGGAGACAGTAACATTCGAGTTTCACATATTGCCCAGTCTGTCCTTGTTTACGATTGTATGGGATTGTAGTTCACATTGCAATGATAAAGGGTTGTCTCATCAGCAATTTCCATCACCACTCTTGGCTATGATGGTCACTGACTAAATTGTGGAGCATGTCAACATCTTGAGCACTTTGAACTAGCAGAACATCACACCAGCAATAATGACATTACGAAATCTGGGTTGGCATACCAGAAAACAAACATATAAAAACAAACCAAAAGTAATTGAGTGCTATGAATCTTAATGGGGCGGCCTGTAACTGTGGAAGAGTAATTGACGACATTGGTGAACAACTTATTTCGCATCTGTGATACACATGATCATTGCACTTTGTTGGGGTGATTTTATATTAACATTGTTCTGCTCAGGACTGAGTTTGTCTATGGACTTACAGGAGTAATGCCAGAAAATTGATGCCTTAAATCAGCCAACCAGTGCGTCTTCTCAAGCGCTCTAACACATGCTTTTCACCGGTAAGGCGCCCGACCAGCCCTAAGCAGTGTGAGGAGATCAAATAAGGATCACAGCAATATATAAAAGTCAGTTTAGAGTCGAGACCATATGTGTTATAATATAGAGTATTTCTGACCAAGCAGACACACATCGGTGTCGGTCACGGGTTTAAAAACACTAAATATCAACCACAATTGAATTGGGTGGTCTCGGAATGAAAATTACCGTTGGCATAATTGCGGCAATCATGAATACCCATCCTCCAGTCAGTCTCCCATGTATCGTTAAATTTGAGTGCAATGTCCAGGGAATCCTCTTCACTATATCCCACAAACCAGCATCTTCGTTTGGGTAGCCTTGCCAACTTTCTTCTAAGAAGAGTTCGTTGAGAAAAAAGGTGTAGATTCATAAGGCAACATGACTGAACAAAGACAAAATGATTTTCAAGCCTGACCATATTCATAACCAATAAATTTGCAAAATCAGCATCTCAGACTAAACTGACTATAATTCAGCATCTGTGGATCATAAGAGTCGAAGAATTCATAGACTAACCCGGGATCGATCCACCTGGCAAGGCCGCAAGTGCCAGTGCAAACAAATTTTGGGGGTCTTCAGGTTGAAAATGAAAAAGAGATGCCTAAGACATTAGTAAATAATACTAGAAAAGCAATGCAAACACGCAGTAAAAAATCCACTTGTTCTAGGCAATATATCATTAATTTCCAACAAAAATTATGGGTACACATCACCATAAGATGACCCAACAAATTAATATCCAAAACCATATCCATCAAGTAAGTATCTGAAATTTGAAAATTGATAAGGACAAACCATGCCTTAGAATTGGATGGTGGTGAAGAGGTTTTGAAGATGACTACGAAATGTTGCAAATCCCAGAGATGGAGTGCGAGAAGAGCTGATGTCACTGACTGAAATGGTTCTGTTGTTGCTCTAAATGGCAGTGTTGCTACATATACTTTGTCTCTTCCACTAACGTTCATGGTCGATTGTAGTGACGCCAATGCCATTTTCGCAAATTAATCAGACAGTTGGTGGAAGTTAAAAGAAGCGAAGGAGAGGCAATGCTTAGATAATCTGCAGATGAATCCTCATTGGTTGTGTAAAATCCAACAGTTGACAATGGGCTCACTAATTGGAATAGAAACTAGCTGTATCCAATGGATTCCTTTTATTCCTACTGATGTCCATTGTCCAAAATACTCCTTTTAGTATATTTTACGCTACAAAAATTAAATGCTTATCTGGTAATAAGTTTCCACCATGCCATCCACCCCTGGTTGTGAACTCAATCTGTCAAATAATGTGAAGCAGAAACTAGCGATAATAGCAGCCTAAAGTGTATTGCGTTATCTTCCAAGATATCAACATAAAAGCAATCTGAAAGATTAATTTACGTATTGATAAATACAGTGGGGAATTAATTGATTAAATTTAGGAATAAGAAATAACATTGAACTTTCAAATCTACTATACTCATAAGCCTACCACTTTCAATGGCAGTTTTCGTTCGACTTTGTTTTCTTGGTACCAAGCACATAGATGAACTTACAGAGCTAAAACAATGTAACCAGTAACTTGATGCCCTAGTCCAGATCACCAAAGCTTCTTCTCAAGCGCTTTAGCACATCCTTTTCGCCAGTAAGGTGCTCAACCAGCCCTGTGCACAAAAGTTTCATAAGATCAGAAAAAGATCATGATAGCATCCAAAAGTTAAGTGACAGTTCCACACCGATCAAATAGACCCAAGCATCATCCGCAGGTACATACAAGCACAAACATATGAAGGAACTGAATTTTGTCCTATCAGATTGATTACCATTGGCATAATCGCGGCAATCGTGATGCCCAATTTTCAAGTCGGTCTCCCAAAGGTTGCTGAATTTACATGCAACATCCAGAGCATGCTCTCCACATGATCCCACAAACCAGCACCTTTCTTTCGGTAGCTTTGTCAACTTTCTTTTGAGAACAGTTCCTAGAAGAAGAATGTAGATTCGTTACGCAAACACACACTAGACACGGTTGACATGAATAGGAATTTCAATCTCCAAGTCCGACCTTACTTTTATTACCGGGATGTCGCATCATCAGCAACTTTCTCTTTTAGGACCAAACTGACTCTAACTTAGAAAACAAGCTAAAAATTTTCATGTAATTGCATGATGAGGGCTGTAGTAGTTGGAGAATTCATAGACCAACCTGGAATTGATCTACCTGACAAGGCTGCAAGCGCCACGTACACATTTTCAGGGTCTTCAGGTTGAAAATCAAACACACATGCCTAAAACATAAACAAGAAACCAAGGAAAGTCATCAGATCAGGTCTTAGTGCAAACAGAATGTGGGCAACACTTGAATCGAATTCAAACAAAAGAATTCAGAGGCATTACATCAACAAAAGAAGACCCAACAATACAATTAACTTCCAGAACTTACACCTATCAACAAACTTGCCCCTTTATCAACAATTCGAAATGGGAACCCATAACGCAGAATCCACGCAAACACAATCAATCAAGAACCTGAGAATCGGATGGTGGCGAGGAGGTTCTGACGATGACCATGAAATGCTGGAACTCCCAGAGCTTGAGCGAATAGGCGGCCGAAGCCAGCAGCTGAGCTGGTCCTTTCGTTGCTCTGAGCGGCACCGCCGCCACGTACACTCCGTCCCTTCCGGCGACTCTCGCCAGCGACTTCAGCGGCGCCGTCGCCATTTCTGGCCGACTGACCGGACGGTTGGTGGTAGTTAAAGAGAAGGAGGGGGCCGACAGTTCGGATAATCTGCTCATGAATCCTCGTCCGTCGATCTTGATTGGGGAATAATCCGACGGCTACGATTTATCTGCACAAATGGGCTCTCCATTCGCCAAGGACAGGCCCAATGTGAAAAATAAAAAAAACACAAAAATAAATTTTTAACCGAAAAATCTATCTTATAAATAGATGATTTTTTTTTTTTACTCAAGACAAATTTGTCAACAACTCTCAAATACTATCTTTATTAATTTTACAAATATTCATAGTCATTGGAACGAGCTAGTAGTTTCAAAATAGTGTATATGCACCGGGAGTTATGTAGTACTGGTGCATTCTGAAATGGGTTTTCGAAAAGTTTCGGTAAAAGGAGATGGCGACCTACATCGAACTTTAGTCCGGGAAAGCGATCAGAAGCGAATTCAATAAGGTTAACCAAGCATTAAGCAAATAAGCATGCTGCAACATATATAACCATGAACAAAAGGAAGAGCAAGTAGACCCTATAGAAGTAGTACTTATTTTTATGGAGGCCAAGAAGCAAAATCCCAAAGACCAAGGAATCATGGAACTCATCCTCTTGGGATCTGCCAAGTGACAGGGCCAATCCACAAAGACAGATACTACATAGTAATTTTTACAATACCAGAACATCAGAAAACCAGTAGATTGCTTTATTAGATCCTAGACCAAGATCACTGAAACAAACCCCCCTAGCACACCAAACACTCATGCACAGACAAGACTTGCTCTCACTCCCTTACTCACTCTTCCACGGACACATCACTCATCAGTAGTCTTCTTCTCATCAGCTTCTGCAGCAGCAGCAGCAGCTCCCTTCTCTTCCTTCTCTCCCTCCTCCACTCCTCCTCCTTTGACATCCTCCTCTTTCGGAGCCTCCACGGCGGAGTCTGGGTCTGGTTCGGCCACCGCTGTCTCTTTGGTCTCTGTCTCCTTGTCCACGACCGCCTCAGGTTCCGCTGATTTCGTGTCAGCTTCTTCTGCTTCCTCCTTGCTCTCGGCCGGCTCGGGTGCCACCTTGGAAGTCTCCTTTGGTGCCTCGACTTCTTTTTCTTCTTTCGATTCAGTCTGTTCTCCTTCAGTTGTTTCAGGGACGCCGTCTTCTTGTTCGGTCTCGGGACTCTCGGTTACGGTCTTGGTCTCGGTCTCGGTCTCGGCTGGCTCTTCTTGATCTTCTTCTTTCTTGGGGTCTTCTTTTGGTGCGACCACCACAACTTCCTCTTGATGGACAGGAGTTTCGATTGGCTCTTCAGACTTGTCCTCCACGAGCGCAGCTTGTGCTGATACAACCTGTTTCATCCACAAAAATCATTTCATGTATACGGATCAGCAAAATAAACAAAACCGTAAGAAATCATATCGTAGGTCGATCCTTTCATTCGAAAACATAATCTAATAATAACACGTTTCTTCATTTTCTGGTGTCTTTCGGCGAAGAATGACGATCACGGATTGATTGTAACTGTCCTACTTGGCAAAACAGTTTTCGGAAATCATCTCTTCGACTAGAGCTAAACATGTTGAACCAAGGTTTCTACTCCAAGAACTTTAATGAGTAGTTATTAGAGTTACCTCGACGGTGGCCATTGGAGATCCGAAGGAATTACTTTTTTCAAAAGCTGCTTAGAAAATAAACAGAAGCTCAAGCTACGTGGGTCAAAATTGAAGGTCGAGAGAGGAAGGAGAAATGAGAGAGTGGAGTGTTGGAGTACGAGAGTGAGATGAAGATGATCTAGTGGAACAAGCTATTTATAGCAGAGTGAATCGGTGAATAAGGTGGTAAAAACAATAGAAAAAAGAGAAGAGAAAGATTGGAAGAATCTTGGGATTTGACACTCCTCATTCACTGGCTCCAAGAAAATTAAGCATGTTGGCGTCATAATTAACACTAAGAAATTTTTTTTGGGAAAATGCCAAATTTTTTTTCACTTTTCATCTAAATACTAATTACATGTTTGTGCTTTCCAAAATGCATGTTTGTACTTTTTACCTAAATACCAATTATAGAGTCACGAGCGCACGGCTGAAGAGTCAAGAGAGAGAAAGTTATACTAAGCGAAAGAGAGAGGGAGGGGAGCCGACGCAAAGGGGGTTGGCGTTGACGGCATCGATAGAGAAGGGCACATAGAGATGACGGAGATGGTGACCGGCGGCAGGAGGGGTGGCGGGTGATGTTCGAAACATATAATTTGAGAAGTAAGGAGACATGTGGCCGATATCTAAATAGAAATTGAATTCTGTTTTTGGCATTTTTCTCGAAAAGTCTTAAATGATATAATTTCTCTTATGGTATTCTTCCTCTGTGATCTAATCTTCATTGGAAAAGCCAAAGAATAATGGAGGTCATATCAGCCCGGCCATCATCATCAACATCATCTCCCTTTCGGCCTTCGAGTCACCGTGTCTTGTGCAGCCCCCACTGAAGGCGACCTAAACCATCATACACTCACGTTCACGCTCTCTCATTTCCCCCATTTTTTTCCTTTCTTTCTTCCCCTTTTTCTTTGTTAGGTTTGATTTTCTTCCTTCTGTGAAATCCATCATTAATTTCTTTCTACTGATCTGTCAAGAAATATTACTGTGACACCATCAATTCCACCAAACTGTTCAACCAGATTGATCTAGAAGTGCCCTCTTCTATCCCTGACGGTTATTGCTTAGGCTTTGAAATTTTTCTGAGTTCGATGAAAGAAGGTCTAGACCCTGAAGAGTTGTAATTGAATTGGGTTTGACAAATTAGATGGACCTACTATATATGTCTACTTAGGAGGTACTGATACTTTCCACTTATTAAGTGCATGTACAATTAATGATTCGGGTAGATCACGTCTCAGAGTTACTTTGATCTAAAGATCACATATCGTTTTGTTTGAGCGATCATGGATCTGAATCACTATGAGGATTCTTTTTTTTTTTTTTTGATTAATAGTGATGTAGCATACAAGAATCCAGCTTTAAGCGAGATGCATATCCCTCCCCGTAAAAAAATTGTATTCTCTTTATCATTTCCCGGTTTTCGCAGTCCCTATGTTCCTAGTGTTGCAAATCGATCGAACAACAATTGTTTTTTTTTTTTTTTGGCCAGTTAGCAAAATGAAGACAATGGTTAAATCAAATTTAATCAGGTAAGTAGCATTTGTTTAGGGTGAAAGCATTCCTATGTAGTTCGAGATTCGAGTCGGTACAGAAAAAAATTAAATTGTTGGCATTTTGGGTAACAGACGGTCCATCCCAAGGAGTTGTCCAAGGTGCATCGGCATAGGAAATTGGGAATCCTGCACAAATTACTTGAGACAAACGCATGAAATTCATCATCCCCACTCACTCAAAAATCTTATCAAAGGCTATAGGCTAAAACTCTGGCATTATTGTTGTCCTAGAGCGACAGATATTGACTATGGTGAGTCATTAGTCACAATTATTCTTTAGTTACATCATCTTCTTTCATTGTCGTTCCACTTGCATCCCCACGTACGTCACGTTTTTACATTATTCGATTCCACCCTCGGCGAGTATTGCAATAGTCTTGTGAACGATCTAAAAGTTGTGAAAGCAGCCCATGCTTATATGTTTTCAAATTTCCAAAAAGTGTAAAGTTTGGCAGATTGAAAAGACCTTAAGATCGTAGACAATCGATTAAGCATTAGGATAAAATACTGATTATTCTAAGTAGAAGTATATCAGGAATTCTTATATCATACTTCCGATACTTTGCTCCATTAACTTTCACTAGCTCATGCAAATCATTTCGTCCACGTGCACGAGAGTAGCAGCCGGGGCCAAAGTTACTTTCAGTGAGACTGATGTTATTCAAACACGAAATTTGTGTCCTCAACTCAGTATCTGACAACTAATCAACTAACACCGTTTGAGTTAATTAATGGTAGAGCAGATGGAAGTACCAAATCATTAGGGGTGATCGGTTCCAGGGTGGGTCGGTTCCAGATCTGGAACTTGAAACCGACCCTATTATAACCGGTTCCTAGTCTTTGGAATCTGAAACCTACCCTGTTTGCTCTGAATCCTGTTTTGGAACCTACTTTGTTTTTTTGATCCGGTTATAGGGTCTACCTAAGAACCCCTTTTTTTTTGTTCCTTTTTTTGGTTTCATTTTTTCCGGGTAGCAAATAGGAAAACTTATAACTCAAATCAAAGGTTATAAGTTCGATTATGCAAACAATCTTAAATATTCATACAAAAGCATATTATCTTAGTCCAAATAATTTAATGGACATGATAAAATAGCATAGGTTCAAGTTGGATATGTAATTTATTCGTTACAGAACAAAAATTTTAAGAAAAAGGAAATTGCTCCCTATAATACTTACAAGCCATTGAGTTAGACTATCCGCAAATAATGATCACCTCCCTCATCCTTTATGATAGAATGCTTTGAATTCTGGTCATATAAAATTGCAAGTGGACCTTCATATAAAACCGGTTCTAAAATCGGTCCGGGCGGATTTTCACTTGGAACCGGAAACCGAACGGGTTCTAACCGGTTCCCAAAAAATGGAACCGGTTCTCGGACCGATTCAAATGGGAACTGGTTCCCGGACCTATTTTTTGGGTGAATCGATCCGATTTTCGGGTAAACTCGATCCAATTGCACACCCCTACGAATCATGCAATGGAGAAGATAGTCATAGAAGTAAGAGTAAATTACTCTTATCTCATTTCGACCATTCTCATGAAAACCCTTTTTTTTAGGGGCTCTATTATCATCTGACAACTTTTCGTGTTCCCTCAGCATACCTTAATTGGAATAGGATGACTCAGCATCAGGAAAAGTAGGCCCTCTTCGCCTCGATTCTCTTATATAAATGATCGAGATCTTATGCGAAAGGAAAAAAAAAAAAACTCTACTCTCTTTTAACGAAATTCATTTGAACGATATTATTTACTTATTTGAACATAAACTCAAAATATTTAATCAAATCACATGATGAAGAAA